ATGAGAGAAATCGTGCACATACAGTGTGGGCAGTGCGGAAACCAGGTGAGGTTCTTAACTTTGACTTAACTCTAGCTAGATTTACTCATAAAACAGACAATGAGGGGGGTCGGGGTTTGAAAAGAAACTAGAAATCAACACATGTAGTTGGCATCCATCTTGAGTCCAATACTGCCTTGCCCACATTTTTTGTCTTAAAGTTAATCTATGAGAAATCTCAGTGCTCGATTAGCTGCACGACCAGTATACGTAGAACGTCCAGAACATGCAAAATTTAACCTCACTAGGACATCACATAAGCGATCTGATAACACAACGTGCCACCATGTGGCTGAAGAATACCCGTGGAGAGGTCACAGAAACCGCGTTCAGCCATTAGACCATATTTATGGTCGGGCTATATTGCGGACCCTGGCATAAGCCAGAGTGGGACTTAAAAAACCCACTAAAAATTGACAAGGGAATTGGAGCAAATGTTAAAACACATATCGGAAGTATGTAGGTCAATGCACTCGAGCAAACCAGCATCATCATAATAGACTTCGATAAAGACTCATCAGACGAAACACTGATCAAGTACTACTGTGTTCCTCTTTACAAGAGGAGTAGTAACGCCACTGCACCGACGTGTTGTCATCACACGTAACTTCCGCATAATTACCAACATATGCCAGAAGCTAAATTTTACAACCAGAAATATTGCTTCTGGAGTTACCCACTTCCGAACAAAGCTTATTGTCTTTAGCAGTGAATCGTCTACTTGTTTATGAAGTTTCCTTCACTTTTTCTTTTCTATAACACTGTTTCTTTCAACATAAATATTGTTGTAAATATAAGGCCGTGGTCTGCATACGCTATATTATTTCCTGATGTGTAGTTTACTCCGGGCCAGCAAGAGACTCTTCAGATCGAATTGAAACAAACTGATTTGAGCACACGATCGCTTGGACGACAACTGAACGTTCTAGCTATTACTCTACGCTGGTGTCACTCTATGCTCAGGGCAGCTGCATTATATCACGTGACAAATATATTTTACACTCATCATCATCATCATCATCATGAAGCAGGTCCTTTGCAGAACATTGCTCTCATCACGGTCTGCCTGAAAGAAACGGTCTCTCGCCAGCTGTCCCGCCTCATGCACTTTCATACTCAAGGAGTGTCTTATAATCTGTGCCCATCTTCGTGTTGGTCGGCCCCTGCCCCTCCTTCCTGGTACCATGCCTTCTGCTATAATTTTTTTTTAAATTTCAGACTACACATTATTTATCATCTTCTTTTTGATTCACCATAGCAGTGAATCTGTTGTATATTGTAACGTACCTTTTTGTTGCAGTCAAATATCCCTCCTCATCAATCCTGAAACTGCCTTTATTTTTAAACAAATCTCCCCCTATTACACTATAAGCCACAAGCCCAGGCACAAACACCCAAATTTCAGAACATTAAAGTGGCACCAATAAACCGGACCACAAATTTAACCGATCGCTGCTCAAAACGAAAATTGTTGTCTATTTATTTAACGGTTGTTACCACGATAGTTTCCTCACGATTACTGCCATGACAGTTACCTTACGATTGTTATTATAGTGCCTCATGATTGTTACATGATGATTGTTATTTTAGTGCCTCAGGATTGTTACCATGCTCATGAATGTTGCCATGATAATTACCTCTTGATTCTTACAATGAAAGCTACCTCATGATTGTTACCACGATAGTTACCTCATGATTGTTACAACGATGGTTACCTCATAACTGAAACAATGATAGCTGCCTCATGATTGTCACACTGATGATGACCTCACGATTGTTACAAAGATAGTTATCTCATGATTCTTACACTGAGGGCACCTCGTGACTATTGCAATGATAGTTACCTCATGATCGTTACATTAATGGTTATCGCATGATTGTTACACGATAATTACGTCATGACTGTTACATGATAATTACCTCATAGCTGTTATATGATAATTACCTCAGCATTGTTCAATGATGTTTACCGCATGATTGTTACCATGGTAGTTACCTCATGATTTTTACAACGAAAACTACCCCGTTATGGTTACCATGAGAGTTACCTCATGACTGTTACTACCATGAAAGCTACCTCACATTTGTACATAAATGTTTCAGCGGCGTTAATCCTTCCATGATGTTGCTTGCTCATTGTCCACGCTACTGCGTCATTTAACATTGCATTGCAGTATTTAAGCATACCTCAATTTTCCACGTTTGCATGCTATAAAAAGATTGTTCATCGGGTGGAATAGATTTACTTATATATATATATATATATTATATATATATATATATATATATATATATATATATATATATATATATATATATATATATATATATATATATGTATAAAGTAAAAGACCAATTTCAACGCCTTTAGGCTATTGGGCATATAGGGCTAGACTTACATTTTATAGACCCATCGCACTTGGTGGGTGATATGTTCAGCATCCTAGTACACGACCGTCCGATCCGCAGGCGAGCCTCTAGCCGCTACACCTTGGTGACTTCGATGTACACACACACACACACACACACACACACACACATTTTCCAGCTGGCACATTTCCGTCTTTCCAGACGATGGTGTTATATTGTGCTATGAGAAGGATTGGGAGTCACAGCCCATGGCGACTGTGACTAGCAAGACTCGCCAGCGTTGAGAAAAGTCTTCAACAATTGAAGCATGGGGTTTCAGAAGCGTTGTTGCCATCATTTATCGTTAGTGTGTTTCTTCTCAAACGCTCAGCTCTCATCCATTCTGCAATCATTTCTTCCTTCACTCTAATACCCCTCTTGATCCATCTCATCCACGCAAAATGTGTGTGTGTGCGTGTATTATACATACATATATATATATATATATATATATATATATATATATATATATATATATATATATATATATGTGTGTGTGTGTGTGTGTGTGTGTGTGTGTGTATAATACACGCACACACATATACGTATTGTATCTTAACCAGATAGGCGCCAAATTCTGGGAAGTCCTCTCAGACGAGCATGGCATTGACCCCACTGGCACGTATCACGGAGATTCTGACCTGCAGTTGGAGCGCATCAATGTTTACTACAACGAGGCGACAGGAGGGAAATATGTCCCCAGGGCAGTTCTGGTCGATCTGGAACCTGGAACGATGGACAGTGTCCGATCTGGGCCATTCGGACAGGTAAGGCCCTGTGGAATTACTTATACAATAAAACTGAGAATCACAGATCATGTTCGAAGTTTTCATGTTAACAAAGGAGTAATAAAGGTTTCACTTACATTCATTGTAGAGAAAACGATATCGCTTCTTCTTCTTCTTCTTCTTCTTCTTCTTCTTCTTCTTCTTCTTCTTCTTCTTCTTCTTCTTCTTCTTCTTCTTCTTCTTCTTCTGCTAGCCTTTATCGTCTCCATTAAACTTGGTTATGATTGTTCTTCTGTTTCGGGAATTCTGGTCTTGTTCAAGAACTTGAGTTGGGTTTAGCGTGCACATCCGTTTTACAGATCTGACTTATTTGTACGCAGAATGTTGGTTCCTCGTCTCTCGGAAAGATGTACTCTGGCTTCGAAGGAAACTCCCCAGATTAGTCGAATTGCTTGTTGGGGGATGCAGTGGGCCAATTCTCCTCCCACCCCCCCACCATTCCCACGTGGCCCCGTAAGCCACAGGAATAGTTCCAGCTGCCGTTATTAATCTTTCCTTCCCCTCCCTACCCACCACCCTTAAAATGGATTCTTTCAGTTGGAGGTTAAGTGTATGCTTGTGTGCGTATTTGACACTTCATGAAACCTCTCCTGGGCAGTTTGAGCTCTCATTATGAACAGGTCACAAGCTGCACCCTGTTCAACTGTCCATGCATCAGCATAACATAGATAGATGACGTCTACGTCAGGAATCCGGTGCAGGCGGGTAGGTTAATGTACCCCACCAGGACATCACACAAGCGATAAATACCCGGTGCAGGCAGGTAGGTAAATGTACCCCACCAGGACATCACACAAGCGATAAATACCCGGTGACACAAAGTGCCACCATGCGGATGAAGATCAGCCATGAAGAGGTCCAGGAATATGGCCGCTAGGCCATATTTCAGAACCGGTTATAGTTAGGGCCCCGGCAAAAGCCAGGGTAGGGCTTCAAAATAACTTAAAAAACTGCATCCCACAAGGGGATGACGAGATACTGGTGCAAACGGTATAAACAAAAACAAAGAAGCGATCCTGTACAGGGCGGGGGTTGAAGAAATAACGCCGTAGAAGATTTAGGGCAAAGACTACACCAATGGCGTTGACGAAGATATCATCCTTAGAAGCAATGATGAAAAAAACCGCAGAAAGGGTTATGAGGACTAGTGGTGGCCAACATTTTACTACCAATGACAAACATGGACTTTTACTACAAACAATGAGAGAAAAATCAAAACAACAGAACTAGGATGTTTTAAAAAAGCTGCCATAGTGACAAGATGAGGTACTGTATGAATAAATTAGAAGGTTGGGACTGAGACCAGTCATATAAATCATTGAAAAGCAGCCGCTGGAATAATTTGGCCATCTGACAAGAATGTTGTAGTACCTACTGCCACAAGGAGTCACGTTATCGAAGAAACATAAACAAATGGCAAAGGGTGAGACTGAACAACCTCAAGAACATCCTAAAATAAATGAACTACTTATTTAGTAACGGCAGGCTTCTGGTTAATTTGGCCGATAAGCTTGTGTACTATTTTTAGTCGCATTCCGTTGCATTTTCCTTCTTATGTTTACCGAAAGGATATAGCTTCGTCGATCAGCTACCTAGTTGAGTCCATGGCGTGACACTTTGAGCTGCGAACTTAATTTGGAATATTTTTTCGACTTTAACCAGTGAGTTTTCTGTTGTAAACTACAGATTCAGAAACTGTCGAGTGGCCTGATGCCAGAGAACGTGTGGTAACTAAGGTGATTAATTGCGTGTGCAACTAACGATTTGTTCTAACTGCTGTCGCCATCGATAATAAACTGCATTTCTAGTGTAGGACTGTCTGTGTTAGTACCTGTGGCTGCTGTCTTATGCTTTGTATCTGCTGGATTAGATAAGACTGTATAGTCTGTGTTAATGTTTATCAAAAGAGGCAGCGATAGACATTCTGTGTGGTTTTGAGTGGCACAGAAACGGAGCAACTAGAGGATGACCCTTTTACTATGAAGTTGAAGCTGCGATTACCTCATTACCCGATTAGAAAAAGCGCACAAACAATCTTTCCGATCATTCCCTCCTTTCGTGCAACACTTATTTGTGATAACTGGTTGAGAAGGAGACGGGTAATACTAAGTTTAAAGCTTGGAGTTTGAACAACGGATCAACATCATGGCACACGGGTAGTAACCTATGACTGCTGCGTTCTTTCTTCTAACTCAAGTCTGAGTCCGAAGATGCTCAGCACAATTCACAGGCTCTGTAACACCGGCGAGGATCCTAAAATACTTTTGACAGATTTTTAACTTAAAATTGTGCCCGGGCAGCGCCGCTAGGTTACCATTTTCGATTTCCAGCTGCCAAGGGATTAATACACACGGATATCAGATATCAGTACCCAGAAATTAGGGGAAATACTAGAAGTCCAAGTCCACGTGAAAAAATTCCAGGCCTTACCGGGGATTGAACCCGGAACCTCTAGGATTTGAGGCGGACACCATGCATCGAGGCCACGCAACCCCCTAGGATTATACTAATAATTAATCCTATCATCAATCGAGATAGGCCTAATAAAAAAGTAAAAAAGTAAAGGACCATTTTTCACGCCTAAAGGGCATATATATATATAAAAGAACAAATGCATCCATACTTCAAGAGCTGAATATTGAAGAGGGTTGGCTAGTAAAGACAATAAAACAAAGAAAATTGAAATATTTTGGTCACTTGAAACGTCATGGAAGTCTAGAGAGAACAATAATGGAGGGGTATATGCCTGGGAAGAGAGGAAGAGGAAGGCCAAGGAGAAGATGGGTGCAGGATGTGGCAGATGATCTCCAGATGGGTGTATCAGACGCAGGACATCTTGCTCAGGATAGGAAGGTTTTCCGGAGGGTTGTTATGGCAGCGAGGTTCCGCGAGGGACTTGCTACTGAATGAATGAAAGGGCATATAGGGCTGTACCTATATTTGTATAGACCAACGGCACAAGATGGGTGATGTGGTCAGCATCACGCCGGCTGCCTCTTCTTCCCGGGACTGCACGCGGTACCCACTCAAGGCTGGGTCGACCTGGGAGCCAAGGTCATTTTTGAAGAAAAGTCCGACTCCGCCACGGCGACTCCCTGATAGGCCTAATCAATTACTATAAACCTATAAAACTTACATGCCTGAATGTAACACATCTAATATCGGCCTTTGTTTTTTGGGTTCGATACCACACAGTGTCCTCTGCTCCGTGAAGTTAATTGCTTATTTCAACACGCCTGGCTGATACCCGCTCATGCATGTTTACTTGTTTTCTTTGTTGTCACTTTCTTGATGAAAGTTTTTTAACCTCACGAGTCTTTCTACATGGACTCACCGACTTTTGTCAGTTTCAAACAAATCCATATACTATTATACTTTGTGTTTTGCCGAAGATACTATCGTGGCTTAGACTGGCTAAGTATTAATCTTAATTAATCATATTTGACACCGTTGATGCACTTATGAGTGCAATATGTTGGAGGTTTAGTTTAAGATCAGAGACTTTTACTTTTGATCAAACTTCTTCTTTTTGTGTCGTCTCACTGATACAAGGTTGTAGCCGTGTCATGTTTCCTGTATTTGGGTTGTTTTTCTCGGGTGGCTTGGGTGATGGATCTTTTTGCAGGTTTCAGCTTTACATTTTTTTAACGTTTTTCTTGCTCTTCCGCTCGCCTTTCTGCCATATTTTATACTGTTTGAAAAAAAAAAAGCATTCTCTAATGCAGTTTGGTATGGCTGTATTCTCATCAAATGGCCAAACCATTTCATTATTTGTCTGTAAAAATAATATAGAAACCGTCTTATTCCAACTTTCTCTCTAATGCTGGTATTTGTAACCCTATCCTTTCTGGTCGTGTTAGTGACCTTAATTAGACAGCATTTCACAGACAGTTACTTTCTGTTCTTTTACATTATTTATTGCCCATCACTAGCATTGATAGCATAAGGTAGCCATCAAGATGATATTAATGATTTCCTGTTTTACTGGAAGGGAGGTATTTTGGTGTCTAAGCAGTGTGGCTAACTGGTAGGTGACCAATCTGCCTACACTACATTGGTTTCTATCTCTGCTTATCCATTAAGAATTTTTGATAATTTGAATTATTAGTTTATGAACGATTTCAGAAGCTATAAGTTATAAATCTATCAAGGATGTGAAATTAATGTATCGAAGATTTACGATTCTTTAAACTACAGATCTATCGGCCAGACAACTTCGTTTTCGGCGCATCGGGCGCAGGCAACAACTGGGCCAAAGGTCACTACACAGAAGGTGCTGAACTCTGCGACTCCGTTCTGGATGTGATCAGGAAAGAAGCAGAAGGATGTGACTGCCTACAAGGTTTCCAGCTGACACAGTCGCTAGGAGGAGGTTCAGGATCTGGTGAGAAGTCCTCTTCTTCTCTTGCGTGTTTTTAGTTACAAGTCAATATCCTGTAGTCTGACGAATGTCATACTCTTTGATATGTCTGATTGGATTGTTGTTTTTTCCGTGACTGAGGTTTATCGATGCTTTTTGATTCCCCCCCCCCCCTCTCTTTTTCCCTGCCTTCTTTTAAAGGCCATCTCATTTTTGTTGTTGTTGAGACTAAAAAAATAATCCACGTCTGTCTCCCTAATGTTACGCCTCGTGTATGTTGCAGTTGTCGCTGAAACTTCTCTATTATACTTTGTATTTTTGGAACATCTTTATCACTTTTGTTACCCATTACGGCTCGTGGCTAGCATATAAATGTATGTACAAAAGTTATTTTTGCATGATATCTAATCGTTATGTTGTATTATCTGACATCTGCTGCTTCTAAATAATGCTGAATTCTCATACATCCTTATTTCAATGTATTTCTTTGATAATTTCACAGAATTCTCATACATCCTTATTTTAATGTATTTCTTCGATAATTTCACAGAATTCTCATACATCCTTATTTTAATGTATTTCTTTGATAATTTCACAGAATTCACGCAATAAATGCATTAACATTCAGTCAGGTGTTTTATTACTTTATAAGTATCCCTTTCGTCTCTGACTGAAAATGACAGGTTGACAATAACAATGTAGATTTTAAAACATCACAGTCCGCGATCCTGGGGTAATGGGTGACATGTCTAGTCTTCTCAGATATGGACGATAAATGTGGAAACGCATGTTAAAAATCGATCCACAATTTGAAAAATTAATGAGTTGGTGAAAAGGCTGTAGCTTTATCTGCATTTTCAAATGATAACCACTGCGTCGCTCCAATGTCTTGACACCTCCTGGGATGTGCAGGAGAAGACTAGACTCCTCATACAGATACATAAATCAGTTTATATTGTCAAAGCCTAGCAAACTACTAAACATGCAGACAAAGAAAAAGTGAATCTGTATGACCGACTAGAAGCCAAATAAGGTAGACCGTGTTTGTATTTCATCTACAAACCCATCGTGTTGATGAGATGCCCCATGGTAACCAGAAAACCCCATCGTGTTGATGAGATGCCCCATGGTAGCCAGAGAACCCCATCGTGTTGATGATGTGCCCCGTGGTAACCAGGGAACCCCATCGTGTTGATGAGATGCCCCATGGTAACCAGAGAACCCCATCGTGTTGATGAGATGCCCCATTGTAACCAGAGAACCCCATCGTGTTGATGATGTGCCCCGTGGTAACCAGGGAACCCCATCGTGTTGATGATGTGCCCCGTGGTAACCAGAGAAACCCATCGTGTTGATGAGATGCCCCATTGTAACCAGAGAACCCCATCGTGTTGATGATGTGCCCCGTGGTAACCAGGGAACCCCATCATGTTGATGATGTGCCCCGTGGTAACCAGGGAACCCCATCGTGTTGATGAGATGCCCCATTGTAACCAGAGAACCCCATCGTGTTGATGATGTGCCCCGTGGTAACCAGAGAACCCCATCGTGTTGATGAGATGCCCCATTGTAACCAGAGAACCCCATCGTGTTGATGATGTGCCCCGTGGTAACCAGGGAACCCCATCGTGTTGATGATGTGCCCCGTGGTAACCAAAGAACCCCATCGTGTTGATGATGTGCCCCGTGGTAACCAGGGAGCCCCATCGTGTTGATGAGATGCCCCATGGTAACCAGAGAACCCCATCGTGTTGATGATGTGTCCCGTGGTAACCAGGGAACCCCATCGTGTTGATGAGATGCCCCATGGTAACCAGAGAACCCCATCGTGTTGATGATGTGTCCCGTGGTAACCAGGGAACCCCATCGTGTTGATGAGATGCCCCATTGTAACCAGAGAACCCCATCGTGTTGATGAGGTGCCCCGTGGTAACCAGAGAACCCCATCGTTTTGAGGAGGTACCCCATGGTAGCCAGAGAACATAATGGCACAGAATGTGACCCTTAAATGCGCTTTCTTCAACAACAACAACAACAACAACAAAAAACAAGAAAAAAAAATTTAAAAGTAGAGCTAACATTTTTACCTCTGTATCCATGTTGGGCATATGGTGCTAGCCGTAGAGTTTTTTCAACTAGATGAGGTCATGGCCCTCTAGGAGCAAGTGAACAATGCGGAGGCCTGGGATAGATCATTACGATCTGAGAGAATGGTACAGCAGGAAGTGACCAAGGGATCTGGTCGACACTCTATATTCAGAGGAAAAGCAAGACGGACACATGATCAGACTGCTGCAGGCACCACAAGAATTGAAACTCTTCACTACCTGCTGAAGATGAGGACGGAACCCTTATGTGAATACCGCGAGTGCAGTGTGTCAGTTCTTTGTTCAACACTCAGACTCAACATAAAAGTGATAAAAGCCAGTTGAGACTGCTGGTTTTGTTGTCAATATCCCAGAACCGCGGTGAACTCCCCATGCAATAAATGTCCTGGTACACACTTTATCTTTAATCGTCCTTAAAATCTATGACACTATAATAGACCACATTCAAGGGAAATGTAAACCGATGAACACAGGGCAGACAGTTAAACGTGCCGGCTGCGGCGCCCAGTCAGGCGCTTAATTAACTCTACAAAAAGTCATTGAATAATAGTTACTGTTGATCAGGTTCCTTGTTCTCCGCATGTGTACTGTTCACAGTAACACCAAAAAAGATAACTTCCCTGTCAGCTTGACACTGTACTATAAAGCCCTAATGTCCTCATTATAACTATGCTCATCTTTGGCTTCGTTGATGTTGTCGTGTTGTCCCTAGAGGTCTTGAATAATTAACCCATTATCGGCATTCTCTTTATAAGATCCTGCTACGGCTGTAGTCGTCTTTGCATCATGGATGATATCAGCGTGAAACGATAATCTGCTGCCAGCAAGTGTTGGCCTGCTGATTTATCTATGAGCATTTATGCCCTAAACCACCACACTTAACAAATGTTCAGGCAAAGAAGGCGTTTTCGTGGCAGTAAAAGGAAAACAGAGATATCTGCTCAATGTGAATAGCACACTTGTCTGCTGAAACTGTCATGTGTCTCTGTAAATGAACCCGTGACACTCTGTCCCCAGGCATGGGCACGCTGGTCATCAGCAAAGTCCGCGAGGAGTACCCAGATCGAATCATGAGCACCTACTCAATCGTTCCGTCTCCCAAAGTCTCCGATGTTGTGGTTGAGCCGTACAATGCTACTCTATCCGTACATCAGGTATTGATTCTTTATTTCATGTTTTTGTCTCTGTTGTTATCAAGTTCTCTCTTTCCAATGGTGAATAATAATATAAGTCGACGCTATTTTAATTTTAAACTTATTGTTTTTGTTTTACTGTAAAAATGTGAATAATACAACTTAGAATTAGGCATAAAACACTACAATATTCAAAACCAGCTAAGTTGCTAGATTTCCCTAAATATACACAGGCATAGAATAAAGTCAAAACTTGCCAAATGCTAGGTAGTTTTTATCACAGACATATGGAGACTACATAATAAAGAAACAACACCAGGCAAACAAAAAGGACTGTGCAGCTACCAATTCAAACATAACAGTAGTAGTCTTACGACACGTTAGTACTTTTTGGATAACAGTTTATAATTTTGCTGTCAATCTCGGTTCCTATCTTCTTATTCTTCCTGTTCACGGGCTGCATAAAATCGGAAGAAGAAAAAGGGGGTGGGGGGGGGGGGGGGGAGGGAGATTTCTGGGTATTCGTCCACTTCTAGACTTTAGACATGTTTCAGAAGTTGCGTTTTGCATGCACATCTGTTGTATAAAAGTCCGGCTCATTTGTATGCAGTGTTGATTTCTTCCTTGCCTCCTAGGCAGATGCAGTCTGACTTCAAAACACTTCTGTTAGTCAATTGTTTACGACATGCTTGCTGGGGGGCATGAGAAAACATCGTACTAACCTTCGGAAAGCCGATCCTCTGTTTGTTTGTATGCAGAGTAAAATGTGAGTTTCTTCACCTCTCAGGCAGATACGCAACAACTTCGAAGGTGACTCCTAATAAGTCGACTCTTACGACATGCTTGTTAGGTAGGCAGTAGGTCATTTCTTGTGTTCCTCATAATGGGGCCCTGAATCCAGGGCGTAGGTAGGTAGGTAGTTGTAACCCACTTAGACATCACACAAGCGACAAACACCCGGTGACACAAAGTGCCACCATGTGGATGAGGATCACCCGTGGAGAGGTCCCAGAAACCCGTTTCAGCCGTTAAGCGATATCTACGCCCCAGCTATGTTCAGGGCCCCCGGCAGAAGCCAGGTTGGGGCTTCAAATAACAAAAATTGCATCCCACATGGGAACGACTTTTAGATAGACCTAATCTACACGGGGAAATGACACATTCAGACCGGGTGGATTGTATCTCAGTAGACTTTACAAATTATTAAATGTGGCCTGACTGATGTGTTTATCAAGTGAGGAAAAATCCGTCCTTTTCGAGAATGCCATCTTCCATCTTCGACAGTTGTATTTGTTAGAGCCTAATCCATTGTGCTGTGGTACTACTACCACCACCACCACCACATCTACTACCACCACTACTACCACCACTACTACTACTTCTAGAACAACAACAGCTACTACTGCTGCTACTACCACTACCACCACAACTGCTGCTGCTGCTAGTACTGCTACTACTCCTCCTCCTCCTCCTACTATTACTACTACTACTACTACTACTACTACTACTACTACTACTACTACTACTACTACTACTACTACTTCTTCTACTACTTCTACTACTACTACTACTACTACTACTACTACTACTACTACTACTACTACTACTACTACTACTACTACTACTACTACTACTACTACTACTACTACTACTACTACTACTACTACTACTACTACTACTACTACTACTACTACTACTACTACTAATGCTACTGTTACTGTTCATGCTTACGCGCTTACAAGGGTGACCATCATGCTGTGCTGTAGTTTACAGCCAAAGCTGCTAGCAGCAGACTGGACGTGGTTTTCAACAAGTTAAATTGTTTCAGAAAAATTCTTGGCATGTCATACAGAGACCACATTACACACAAAGATTTCGCTATATAATGATACAGCACATTGGCAACTATGAACCTCTTTTAACTACAGTGAAAAGTAAACAAGATGCAATGGTATGGACATGTAATAAGATCAAAAACAATACTGCAGGGCTCAGTAGAAGGAAAGAGGGAAAGAGGCAGACCAAGAAAGACCTGGTTACAGAACCTGACTGTCTGGACTGGCCTCAAGCACGCAACCATGAAGTCCACTGACCGCCAAAGATGGACAGAGATGATCAGACAGTCAACAGAAACTGGTGACCCTACGACACGTAGTGTTACGGGATGAGGATGATGATGATGAAATTGGAATTGGAACGGGCACGGACGCTGTGAAATTTTATCTGTGCTGTTTCTGCATTAACACGGAGAGAAATAAAGATTGGGCATGAAAGAGACATCTTCATTGACGATATTCCTAACTCAAAATACTATTGTTTGTACAAAGCTGGTCGAAAACACGGATATGACGTACACAATCGACAACGAGGCTCTGTACGACATATGCTTCCGGACGTTGAAGCTGACCACCCCCACCTATGGAGACTTGAACCATCTGATCTCCGCGTCCCTGTCCGGCACAACAACATGCCTGCGCTTCCCCGGCCAGCTGAACTCGGACTTGAGGAAACTGTGCGTCAACATGGTGCCCTTTCCTCGCCTACATTTCTTCATCCCAGGCTTTGCTCCTCTGACGTCCAGGGGATCCCAGCAGGTAACACATGTTTCCCGTACCTTAGCCTTCTATGTACTGCCGCAGGAGAGGCAGATGGAAAGAGGAAGGAAGGGATACATAAAACAGAGTAATTAATATTAGGGAGCAGCGAGAGAGAGAGAGAGAGAGAGAGAGAGAGAGAGAGAGAGAGAGAGAGAGAGGGTGGAAATGAAAATAAAGAAAGGTGGGAATATATCGACAGAAAAAGAGAGACAGAGAGATTGAGAGAGGCATACAGACTAACGGACGGAGACAGACAGACAGACAGACAGACAGACAGACAGACAGACAGACAGACAGACAGACAGACAGACAGACAGACAGACAGACAGGCAGACGGACAGATAGACAAACAGACAGATTGGACATGAAAGAGTCAAATAAGCGAGGAGAATTACCTAGTGTGTAGATATGACAAATTATAAATATAAGAAACTCAGAAGATGGGAGAGGTGAATGTACATACACACACATACATATACAGGTATAAGTGCTTGCCTTACGTACCTGCGGATATACCGACAGACCTAAACAAACGAGTAATTGCAACCATACACACGCACATGATAAGTATGTACACTCATATGTCGTGTATCCCCGTGTGGGATCCGGGGTCCCATTGTGGGGGAAAACAAGAATAGACCCACTGCCTTCCAAAAAGCATGTTGTAAGAGTCAACTAATTGGCAGCTTTCTTTGAAGTTGGAGTGCATCTGCTTGAGAGGCAAGGAACCAACAGTCTGCATTCAAGTGAATCAGATCTGTAAAACTGATGCACATGCAACACTCAGGTTCTAGAGCAGGACTGCAGTCCAGGTGTGGATGAACAACCAGAACTTTCCGCCAGAGTGTACAGCTGGTGAACGCGAAGAAGAAGAAGAAGATATGTCGTGTAGCACGCCAGGACATTCATACACCTGAATATGTATATGTACAAATGTAAGCTAGTTAATCTATAGATTATGCTCAACACACATCAAGCAATTTCATAAACCCCAGGATCCCACCTTCACTAGATCCTTCAGCGTGTAGCGACTGTTAACACCAATTCTCTGCTGGTTTATTCTTCTTCTTTGGCTACCGCTATAGTGTTCATGTTTGGCGACATCTTTTTTGACCTGACGTTTTTGTAGGTTCTTGAGTGATGCCAAGTAAACTTCTCGTCCTGCCTCATGAGAGCATGAGAATGTTGGCTAGGTCCATTGCTTTTCCTGTACCTACCGTGGCCCTGCCTGCAAGCCAATCCGTTCATTCATTTTCTCTTACTACAGAGTGTCCTGGCACAAAAATGACACCAAATACTATCAGACCAGATTTCCTAAGCGATTACAACTTTTTTCTTTAAACCCATCCTGTCTCTATTCTCTTAAGCATGCTCATTGAATCACGCATGGGAAAAACGCTGTGATGCTAGATTCATCATTGCTTTCACTACCGCCATCACCTGTATAGTCAGACTACTTGTAGTCGAAGCTAAAGCCCCTCTATTGTCTATGCTGTACACACCCACATACACAGGGAGTCACCGTGGCCGAGCGGCTAGACGCTCGCCGCGGATCGGAAGGTCGTCGCCGTCTCCCCCGAGCGGCTAGCGCTCGCTGTTTTCAAAAATGACCTGGGCTCGCCCCTGGTCGACCCAGCCTTGAGTGGGTACCGGGTGCAGTTCCGGGAAAGTGAAGGTGGCCGGCGTGATGCTGACCACATCACCCATCTTGTGCCGATTGGTCTATAAAAAAATAGGTCTAGCCCTATATGCCCTATACGCCTTAAGGCGTGGAAAAGGGTCCTTTACTTTTTTTTACACACGCACACACGCGCACACACACACATACGCATATAGGCTGTCAAGTTAGATAGTATATTACTTCGTTGTCCAGCCAGATAGCAAGTCAGTTAACTATGTCATTATTATGTTGGTGTACATGCCTGACGCTGAGATATTCTGGCTATGTTAAACGTCGTGGTTGACAGGGGTAAACGGCGATGGACGGTACAGTTTCTGCCAAACGAGGCAAAGGTTGACCTCCACAAAGTTCGATACAAGACACTGCAGATGTAGAGGTTATGAAAGCACATAGGGCTAGAGCATTGGCTAGAGAAAGAAAGACTTTCAGACGTTCCTTGATGAGAGCCTTTGGAGTCGCTGGTGGGTCGGAGGACAGAACACGCATGGGAATGCCCAATGTGCAGTGACGTTGATTGTGATAACATGGAATAACATAACATCTTGTAGGGAGTCGGCAGTACGAAACCTAAGTTCAATGTGTCTCCTTCGTGCCGAAGAACTGCATAGCTGTTGGGTGAACAGTCGTTAACGAAGGCAGTCAGGTTCTTTGTAGGGGCGACGCTTGCTGGTGAATGTATTTCCTAAGTCCCTTCCCCAGCTAATATTTAGGGTACTGCCGGGGTGACCGTTTATTAACCGTCAAATAATGCTTCAGGTCAAAATGGACGCTAGGCACGGCCACTTTTTTTTAGCCGTGGCAAATGTTTTTGCTTTTGCCAGACGTTGGCCGTCGCATTTTTGCTCCATTTGTAGACTGGAAGGATATAGTTTCGTTGCCCAGCTTCTTAGTTGAGTGCATGGCGTAACATTGTGAGCTGCGGATTTCATTTGAACTGTGAAAAACATTTTATATGTTTTTCGTTGGCACAGGAGCGGAGAACTATGGGGCCACCCGTTTGCTATGAAGCTGAAACTAAGATTTCCAGACTACCAGAGAGCGACGTTCTGAAAATGGCCTGCCCTGTTGACTGAGGATAATGCTGTGAAAGCATAACATAGGCGATAACATAAATAGGGATAACGATTCAGTCAGCAAAACTATATAAATGATTTATCTCTTAACTGATAGGCCGCATAAACTACTGATATGTTGACACGCAGCTATGTTTTATTCATTTACTGTCAGCACGTCGTTTACAGAACGTCGCTCTCTTCACGGCATGCCTGTACGTCTCTCTTTCTGTTAGCGATTCTCCAGCAATGTGTGCTTCCATTGCCAATGTATCTTCAATGTATCTTCAATGTATCTTTAATGTACCTTCAATGTACCTTCAATGTATCTTCAATGTACCTTCAATGTATCTTTAATGTATCTTCAATGTATCTTCAATGTACCTTCAATGTATCTTCAATGTATCTTCAATGTACCTTCAATGTATCTTCAATGTATCTTCAATGTATTTTTAATGTACCTTCAATGTATCTTTAATGTATCTTCAATGTATCTTCAATGTACCTTTAATGTATCTTCAATGTATCTTCAATGTACCTTCAATGTATCTTCAATGTATCTTCAATGTATCTTTAATGTACCTTCAATGTACCTTTAATGTATCTTCAATGTATCTTCAATGTATCTTCAATGTATCTTCAATGAATCTTTAATGTCCTGTATCCACATTCACGGAGATCTGCTTCTTCTTCGTTTCCTGGAAACAATGCAGAGTGGCAAGCATCACTTCAGAGCTCTCGGGTAGTTAGCATTTTTTGGATGTTTTCTCCGGGTGATACCAGTGTGTTGGGAAATGAGCAGGCAGATAGACTGGCTGGCTCTGCACCACTTGGTAGTGAACTGATGTATGACTAGTTAGATATTGTGAGGGCCCTTTGGGAACGGGAGATCTGTGCGGAGGCGCAGTAGATCGTTACGGTCTGAGGAGAATGACACTGCGAGTAGTTACCGGGGTGACCTGTTTCACGCTCAACACTCAGGGGAAAGATCAGAGGGATCTAAAATCAGACAGGTCACTGGTACTATCGGAATTGGAACTCTTCGCTTGCTGTGATAGGGACTGAGTACTTACGGGAGTGTCCCAAATGCTGCGATGACGAGTTCTAAATCAACATTCAACATTTCTGGAAACTGCAACTTTTGTTACCCGTCTTTCCAGACCAGCATGTCGCTTGACATGTCCAAAACATCTTAGGTTTCGTAGAAGGATGCTGTTTACGAGGCATGTATCGTGACAAGTACCGTAGCTTAAAGTGATGCCCCCACCGCTGGCACTAGGCAGAGCCTCAGACAGATGATTTTCTCCACAGTATCGAGCCATCACTGTGCCAGAGCTCACCCAGCAGATGTTTGATGCCAAGAACATGATGGCCGCTTGCGATCCCAGGCATGGGCGCTACCTGACAGTGGCTTGTATCTTCAGGGGCAGGATGTCCATGAAAGGTGAAGCTCTTGTGGACCTGGTTCGCTCTCTTTCTTTCTCCTCTTCTCTTTGCTCTCGCTCTCTCTTTTGCTCTCTTGCTCTCTCTTGTCTGGTTCTCTCTCTCTTGTTTCTCTCTCTTGCTCTCTCTCTTCTCTATCTCTTTTGCTTTCTTCTTCGTTCTGTGTGTGTGTGTGTGTGTGTGTGTGTGTGTGTGTGTGTTTTTCTTGCCACTGTATTAATCGTTTTCAAAAGTCATATTGGTTTCATTTCTCGTCTCAATACTTTGAATGTTAAGAATGGAAAATATGTGTCAGTTTCTATATTTTGACTCTGAATTCTTGACATCTAGTTTATTTTATGGTCATTAATCAAATGTAAATCATCGTCATCATCATCATCATCATCATCATTATCATTACCAACAGTCAACGTTATCATCATTATTGAAGTCATTTTGCCCGAGAGGCGTAGAACCAACAGTCTGCAAACAAATAATCCAGATCTGTAAAATGGATGGGCACGCAAAAGCCAAGTTCTGAAACAAGATCAAAGTCGAGAAATGTGCGAACTTCTGCCGGAGTTTACAGTCGTATTATGCACGGAAGGGTATATGCAAACTTAAAACGATTTGGTGGTAAACGTCAAAGAATGTTATTTATAGACCTAATGACCAACGCCCCCAGGTATGGACTGTGAGAAAAAAAATGATACACAAAGCTGTTATCCACATTATCCATGACAACAGCTGTCTGGTTTTACTGCTTGCATGATGTGGTTTGATTTCCATTAGAGGTGGACGAACAGATGCTCAATGTGCAAAATAAGAACTCCTCCTACTTCGTGGAGTGGATCCCTAGTAACGTGAAGACGGCTGTCTGTGACATCCCACCCAGGGGCTTGAAGATGTCGTCAACATTCATTGGCAACACCACGGCCATCCAGGAGCTGTTCAAGCGAGTGGCAGAGCAGTTTACAGGTTTGCTTACTTTCTGTCTTTGATCTGTCTCGATATCTATTTCTACCTTTACGCCCTGCACCCGTCGTTAAAATATTTCCTTGTTTTATTGAAACATGCACGTAAACGCCGATAGATATAAGTGTATACACACTCACACACATGCACGCTTGCCGGCGAAGTGTGACAATTAAATATTGAGACTGGTTTTATTATGGCCAAAACATCGCTATTTTGAGGCAAAGCATGTCATCCAAACTGGCATTATTTATTCATCTATTAACGGACTAAATTGTAAGGCTGCCAGGTCAGCAGACAAGTAACCGGTCATTTTGTTTAGCTAGTGAAAATTGTGTGACTACGTCTGCAGAGTGGAGCCAAGGTTGAGTACTAATTATGTTTCAAATCAACAGGGAAAGTGCTCTCGACACAGCTGAATTGACGAGATAATTTTATGAGGTTAGGTTTTTTCATCGAATTCAGCATCACAGTCATCTGTAATCTTCCTCAAAGTCAAATATTCGATCTTGGCGAATCCATTCTCTGACTTGGGCAATGCGTTTTTCATTACAAACAGAATTTGACGTCTCGGCCGAGATTCATCTTCAGTCTTGTCCACACACGTTAGGACAATTTCCCCTGTCATGGGGATATTCACCCATCTCACCTCACTGTGATGTGTCTGATGATCTTGTATTACACAGAGATATGGCCATCTCAACAAACACTGAGGTATGACCATCTAGTCTCACCAGCAAAATATGACCATCTCAACACTCACTGAGGTATGATCATCTAGTCTCACCAGCAAAATATGGCCATCTCAACAATCACTGAGGTATAATCTAGTCTCACCGGCAAAATATGGCCATCTCAACACTCACTGGGGTATGATCTAGTCTCACCAGCAGAATATGGCCATCTCAACACTCACTGAGGTATGATCATCTAGTCTCACCAGCAAAATATGACCATCTCAACAATCACTGAGGTATGATCATCTAGTCTCATCAGCAAAATATGACCATCTCAACACTCACTGAGGTATGATCATCTAGTCTCACCAGCAAAATATGGCCATCTCAACAATCACTGAGGTATGGTCTAGTCTCACCAGCAAAATATGACCATCTCAACACTCACTGAGGTATGATCATCTAGTCTCACCAGCAAAATATGGCCATCTCAACAATCACTGAGGTATGGTCTAGTCTCACCAGCAAAATATGGCCATCTCAACACTCACTGAGATATAATCTAGTCTCACCGGCAAAATATGGCCATCTCAACACTCACTGAGGTATGATCTAGTCTCACCAGCAGAATATGGCCATCTCAACACTCACTGAGGTATGATCTAGTCTCACCAGCAGAATATGGCCATCTCAACACTCACTGAGGTATGATCATCTAGTCTCACCAGCAGAATATGGCCATCTCAACACTCACTGAGGTATGATCATCTAGTCTCACCAGCAGAATATGGCCATCTCAACAATCACTGAGGTATGATCATCTAGTCTCACCAGCAGAATATGGCCATCTCAACACTCACTGAGGTATGATCATCTAGTCTCACCAGCAGAATATGGCCATCTCAACACTCACTGAGGTATAATCTAGTCTCACCAGCAAAATATGGCCATCTCAACAATCACTGAGGTATGGTCTAGTCTCACCAGCAGAATATGGCCATCTCAACACTCACTGAGGTATGATCATCTAGTCTCACCAGCAAAATATGGCCATCTCAACAATCACTGAGGTATGATCATCTAGTCTCACCAGCAAATTATGGCCATCTCAACAATCACTGAGGTATGGTCTAGTCTCACCAGCAAAATATGGCCATCTCAACACTCACTGAGGTATGATCATCTAGTCTCACCAGCAAAATATGGCCATCTCAACAATCACTGAGGTATGATCATCTAGTCTCACCAGCAAAATATGGCCATCTCAACAATCACTGAGGTATGGTCTAGTCTCACCAGCAGAATATGGCCATCTCAACACTCACTGAGGTATGGTCTAGTCTCACCAGCAAAATATGGCCATCTCAACAATCACTGAGGTATGATCTAGTCTCACCAGCAAAATATGGCCATCTCAACACTCACTGAGGTATGATCATCTAGTCTCACCAGCAAAGTATGGCCATCTCAACACTCACTGAGTTATGACCATCTAGTCTCACCAGGAAAATTTCACAGTCTAACCTGAGATTTTTTCATTTGGGTATGATCATCTTCTGAACCAGCCAGATGCACGATCGTTTCTCTCTCTCTGTGATGTGGCCACTGAAGCTCTTATCCTGATACTGATTCGGCCATCTTGCCTTGCATCAACACCTCTTAAAGAAAAAAAAAACATTTTATATAATATTAGGTAACATCTTAATCTTCTTGATTGCATTACCCAGCGGTAAACTCCTAAAGAAAGTTCTGGTTGTTCGTCCAATTTTGGACTTTAGTTTTGTCCTAAAACTGGAGTTTAATGTAGCCATTAGTTTTAAGAATCTGGGCTACTTGTATGTCCGTTCTCCGTCTTTCAGGCAGATTCACTCCGACTTCGAAGAAAATCCTTAATTAGTCCACTCTTACGACAAGCTTGTTACTGAGAAGAGTGGATCTGTTCCCTCTCCTCCAGTGCACCGTTCCGTTCTTCTCTTTGTAATAGGGTGGAAGCGACGGAGACTACAGTACAGCAGATTAAAGATCTTAAGATTTATTCTGGTTTTAAAATGGTTAAAAGGCCACCGGAACTAACTAATAAATTTGACCGGAAGATGGAAAAAATCAGCCCACGGGGTATTTAAACGGCCGACTGATTTATTTGACCCTTCTCCTATCTGGTGGCCGCTTCGGCTTGTTACGGTCAAAACGCCCTGTTGTCGTTGTCGACTGCACTTGGTCGCAACGTACAAAATGTACAGGTGTGTCAGATCGAATGGCTGGGCGTCGCTAGATTGGATCGGCTCGGTATGGTACGTTCCTTTGGTTAGATTCAATAATAATTGTCACTTGTATTCTAGACAAGAAATAGTTAGATAGTAGATTGCTGTAAGTTTGAGGTTTTGTTCCAGCACGTGGTCGTTTATGTCGTTACTTTTGGCCATGCTGATGTGAAGTTCAATAAAATTATGTTCAACGTTGTATTCATAGTTACAGTTGTTTCCTTCAGCTTAGGACTAGTAGTTAGTGTGCTTAGTAGTTTTCTAGTTTAGTTTATTATTACCTGACTTATTAGACTCTACACAGAAGATCTAATGCCTGGACTAGAATATTATTGTTTCTAGCCCCCACCTAAACGAATCTATCTATTTCCTATTTTCTTTCCTCTTTTTTTAATAGTAGTACTATGGGGCTTTCTGGCCCTGTTACAAATGGCGTCGTCTGGCAAGGATTTTGGTGGCCTTTAGATATTTTGTGTCTAGCCTAGTTAGTTTAAGTAATAATAGTAGTTCATAGTTTAGATTAATTTTTAAATGGCGCCCAACTTGTGGGGCTTCTATATTGCAGTCTTTTGTTGATATTTGTTTAGTTAGATGTGACAGGATTTAATTCACAAAGGAGTTCTAGTTTGTGCAGGTAATAGTAGTGATTTTTAAATTTTAAATTAGGTTTTTAGGCGCCCACGTGCTCTTTTATTTCAGACTTTAAATATGTTCGCCCACGTGTGTGGTTTCGTTATCGAAGACTTGGGTTGTTCATAGTTAGGTTTTATATCATCTTGTGCACGGATGAGTAGCGTTGTGTAGTTTAATTTGCCAGGTTTAGTCGTCTCAGAATATCGCATGTTGATTTTAATTTGGTTTAGGACTTGTGTAGGTGCGGCCTGTGTAGTTTTATTGTGTGACCAGATGTTAGTTTTGTTTTCACTAGCCGTAGTCAGCGTCTATTGTTAAGTTAACTAGGAGTGGTCAGTGTCTATTGTCGACTAGGAGTGGTTTTGTCTATTGTCCACGGAGTGACTTGTTTACGTCTCGACCTGAACTTGGGGTCAGTTTATCTTGATTTATGTCTCCACATCAAGGTTTAACTTTAGGTCTGTTTATATAGTAGGGAGCCTTGTTTAAAGTACACCGACCGAGCCACTTATGACGTTTTTAACATTGCTGGTACCAGTTGAAACATTGTAGGCTTCGGCCGAGGTAATTTCGTTCCATTCTCATGTAGGCTTCGGCCGAGGTAATTGTTGAATGTCACTTGGAAGCCAAGCGGTGTTGGCAGTGACGAGAGGATTGTCTCTTGATGGCCGAGCGGCCGAGACATTGGCAAAAGTGGTAACGTGTCAAATCAGTCCATTGTAGGCTTCGGCCGAGGTAATTGTTGAATGTCACTTCGAAGCCAAGCGGTGTTGGCAGTGACGAGAGGATTGTCTCTTGATGGCCGAGCTGCCGAGACATTGGCAAAAGTGGTAACGTGTCCGATCAGTCCATTGTAGGCTTTTTCAAAGCCGAGGTAATTGTAGGCCTTCCATGAGGCCGAGGTAATGTCCGATGTGTCTCTGATGGCCACGCGGCCGAGACAAGAGTGTGTTACGTCTCTCCAAGGCCACGCGGCCGAGACAATGTCCATTGTAGGCCTTTGGCCGAAGAAGTGAACGAAAATGTCAATTTGTAGGCTATGCCAAAGCCGAGGTAATTGTAGGCTATGCCAAAGCCGAGGTAATGTCCGATATGTCTCTCGAGGGCCACGCGGCCGAGACAAGAGTGTGTTACGTCTCTCCAAGGCCACGCGGCCGAGACAATGTCTTTTGTAGGCCTTTGGCCGAGGTAGTAAACGAAAATGTCCATTGTAAGCCCTGCGGCTGAGGTATCAAATATGACAACTTATCTACGGAGAATTACTGGACGTCGGAGAGGAAATCCAACTGGTCAAGAATCCGGATGTTAACTGATTACTATGTTTTATTGCAGTAACATGTTTTTTTATTTTATTTTAGGTTTTGCTTGTTGTGTTTTAGTAGTGATTTGATATGTGTTTAACGCATTGTTCTAGCGAGGAGCGGATTAATTGGGGGTTTGTTCTACTCTGATGGTGTCTTGGACCAAAGCGCACACGCTAACGTGTTCCGATGATATCGCCATTATTGATGTAGAGGGGGGATTTGTAGTGATTTTACAGATGGTAGCTGAAACTCGAACGCAAATGTTCACTGGATGTTTCATGACTACTGCCATCTTTGTAATTTCTTATTTGGGACTTATACGTTCCTTATCCAGTTTCCTTGGGACGAGTCATGATTTGATCATATATCGATGTCAGCTATTTTTGGGTGAATGTTATTAGTGGTACTGCAAGAGACTAGTGATTACGTAATGTAAGGGGATGATTTTATTTCAGGTGGCTATGGCCAGTAACTCTGTTGGATGTAGAACAGGAGTTGATGATTTTTAGACAATTGATTTTATCTATTATGTTATGTGTAGTTGCCGGGACGTCAACAAAAATAATAATCCGACGTGTAATAGGGTGGAAGCGACGGAGACTACAGTACAGCAGATTAAAGATCTTAAGATTTATTCTGGTTTTAAAATGGTTAAAAGGCCACCGGAACTAACTAATAAATTTGACCGGAAGATGGAAAAAATCAGCCCACGGGGTATTTAAACGGCCGACTGATTTATTTGACCCTTCTCCTATCTGGTGGCCGCTTCGGCTTGTTACGGTCAAAACGCCCTGTTGTCGTTGTCGACTGCACTTGGTCGCAACGTACAAAATGTACAGGTGTGTCAGATCGAATGGCTGGGCGTCGCTAGATTGGATCGGCTCGGTATGGTACGTTCCTTTGGTTAGATTCAATAATAATTGTCACTTGTATTCTAGACAAGAAATAGTTAGATAGTAGATTGCTGTAAGTTTGAGGTTTTGTTCCAGCACGTGGTCGTTTATGTCGTTACTTTTGGCCATGCTGATGTGAAGTTCAATAAAATTATGTTCAACGTTGTATTCATAGTTACAGTTGTTTCCTTCAGCTTAGGACTAGTAGTTAGTGTGCTTAGTAGTTTTCTAGTTTAGTTTATTATTACCTGACTTATTAGACTCTACACAGAAGATCTAATGCCTGGACTAGAATATTATTGTTTCTAGCCCCCACCTAAACGAACTACTATTTTCCTTTATTTTTTATCTTAGAACTAATAGGGCTTCTCCGGCCCTGGTACATCTTATTGCCCTATCTGCATTGCTGCCTGTATACGGTCACCTTCAGTTTACAATAATCTCACGCCGGATGGTCAACCAGCTGAGCACATCTCAGATACAAGATTCAACTTCCCAAAAGATTTCTCCAACGGGGCACCCGTAGCTGTTATACCAGCCTGGCGGAACCAGCAGTTCTGTGTGCTTGAGTGTACGTGGATAACAATGAAGAGGCGGCGAGCGTTGAAACGACCAGTTAAGCATTAGGTCCAATGTTGAATTAGGAATGTACATTACAGCACCCGAGATATTCCCATTAGCGCTCCATCCCCATCTTCAGCAGAAAGTGAAGAGTTCCAATTCCGATGTTGCCAGTAAAAGACTGAATGTATATCGGTCTCGCCTTTTCGCTGCGTGTAGAACGTCGAGCTTTATTCCCTGGTCACTACCCACAGCTCTATTCTCCTCAGATCATGATGATCTTATTCGTGCCTTCCCATTGTTCACTCGCTGCCAAAGAAGTCTCACAACATCTAGTTTGTCATTCATCAATTCATCATCAAGTGGTGCAGAACCAGCAAGTCTCTATGCTTATTTGTTTCCCAACACACCAACATTCTTGGAGAAAACATCCAAAGGACACTTCTACATTGGAAGTGATGTTTACCACTCTGCACGGAGCTTACCTGTCTCCGCCTATAACTGTCTCTACCTTTCTTAACATGCTCTGCGGGTCAATCCTAATTACATATGTGAGCAGGGGGTTCTCAAGCGCTAGGGGATGTGGCCGACGCACAACACTCAAGGGAAAAGCGAGACGGAAAAACACTCATACAGTTATTGGTGCCATCAGAATTGGAACTCTTCGTTTGCTGCTGAAGATGGGAACGGAGCACTGATGGGGGTGTCTTGAGTGCTATGATGTCGATTCTTAATTTAACATTCAATATTTAAGTTTTTGTTGTTTTTGTTTTGAGTAGTAAAGCGCTAACGGATACGTATGCGGAATATTATTTAAAAATCGTCCTGATGTGGCATGGAATCTTTTGTTATTTGACGCCCCAGCCTGACTTTTGCCGGGGGCCCTAAATTTAGCCGGGCCATAAATATGGTCTAACAGCTTAAAGGGCTTTCTAGGTCCTCTCCACAGGTGATCCTCATCCGCATGGTAGCACTTTGTTTCACCAGGTGTGTATCGCTTTGTGTGCTGTTATGGTGGGGTACAAATAATTACATACGTATGCAGGTTTTGTAAACAGTATCATCTGTAACTAACACAGTAAGTGTCTATTTCTGCTTTCTTCTTGGCAGCCATGTTCCGACGCAAGGCCTTCTTGCACTGGTACACGGGGGAAGGCATGGATGAGATGGAGTTCACTGAGGCAGAGTCCAACATGAACGACTTGGTGTCAGAGTACCAGCAGTACCAGGACGCCACCGCTGAAGAGGCTGGCGAGGCCGAAGAAGAAGAGGAGGAGGAGAACACGTAAATGTTGAAGAGAAAAGTAAATCAGAATTCGGTTTCCATAGAGGGGTGTTGTGCTGGGGGTTAGTCTGTTGGAGATCAATGTCGGCTTGTCATCAATCAACAGGTGACGCAACACCTGTTCAGTGTCATGATCATTCCATAGCATGCAGCAGCCATCGATATGTAGTGCATAGAGTGTTATTCCCAGCATTATGCCCCATCACGAACTCACTCCGAACAAGGGCAGGTTGCGGAGTTCATTAGAGGCAACTCTCAATGGCAAAATATTTCTTTGTAAAAATGCAACTTTTTTTTTTTAAATTACGAACCATTTTGGGGAAGAAAAACAACACTTTTTGGCTGCGAAATGCGACCTTTAGAATGTTTAACATACATGCCATGCAATAGTGCTATTATTGGGGACCAAATAGCGATATATACAATGATCTGTACACAAACAACTTTGCTTCAATCTGAAGTTCTCACAATGGAAATATGTCAAAACAAACAAAATCCAAGCTTCTACGCTACTTTTGTATAACTTATTTTTTTAAATAACATACAGATACGTGTATATGTGATGTATTTACAAAAATGTTTTTACTTTGTATCCTAAGCATCTATTTATGGTGTATAGTGGCATACACATAAGCGCAGGCGCATGCACACACACACACACACACACACACACACACATGATCACACAAACAACACATGCACACATACAACATATGGTTCTCGGAGATAACCCTAAAACTGTTACTGAACTCAGCTAGCGCCCTATTTAAATATTGTTATTAATGATTTGAAATATAAAACAGTAAAAGTGGAGTAGAATCAGAAATGTGTGTGAGAAGCTGATTGGTATCACCAGTAGGATGTGTGTAGAGTGAATGAGAATATCGTAAATAAGTAACAGCAATGTCTTAGAACTCGTCTGCCCTGGAAGAAAAAGATTATTGTTAACGTCAGCAAGAACATACTCTCTGAGCAGTGGTGAAATATAATATGTCGATGCCTAATAAACATCATGGTTGAAGAAGTTATCTGTGTTATGTTGTTAACAATAGGCTTTAAATAATATGTTGCTTGTTAATTATCCGGTTCCAGGGAAACCATAACTTGACACATAACCTTTGATGAGTTATATGTTATGATCTGGGTTATCTTTACAGCATTCCGGACTCAACCTCAGGTGCGTCGCATCATTCTCATTCAACCCATTACCGTCTCGTGGTGTCCGTTCTTCTGCTGGTTCACAAGACTTCTTGAACGTCCAGTGTGGCTCTCATGTCTGGAGGGCCGATCTTTACACCTAATTCTCGCATTCGAAGAAAGGATGTTGACTGGCTGTTCCCAGAGTTCTCTGATTGCCCTATCTTTCTAAGAAGTTACAAAAAGAGGGTAGGAAAGTATAGGGAAAAGAAGAAAAATGGTTTGAAAGAAAAAAAAAAGAAGCTTTTTACCTCAAAATGTTGCCCGGGCAGCGCCGTTAGGCTACTTTTTCGATTTCCAACTGAAAGGGACTTTTAACGTGCGTAACAATACACACGGGCGTCCAATCTCACTACCCGGAGACTAGGGGGGATTACTAGAAGTCAAAGTCCACGTGCAAAAATCACAGCCTTTACCGGGGATTGTACCCGGCACCACTAGCCCTCAAGGCGGACACCATGCATCGACACCACGCAGCCCCGAATAAAGCATGCTGTGTTCATGTAATAATATGCATATTTATGAATATCAAGAAAAAAATATTCGCGTTGCACAAACACACACACCAACATACACACGTTAACCCACTCACACAGTCACCAAAAAAAAAAACACATATATATATCTGCCCGCATACATACATACATACATACGTACGTACAATCATGCATACACTCATACACACACTCATACACACATATATTCACACACACATACAAAAACAACACTTATACATGCATTCATGCATACATACAGGCAACCATGTCACAAACACACACACACACATGCACACACACATACACACACACACACACACGGAGATAGACAGGCAGATAGATACACACGCACGCGCTGACAAACACACACACATACAGACACAGACACATGCATTTACACAGACACACACTTACACAGACACATACAGACACACACACACAGACACATGCACAGATCCACATACACAGACATGGACACACATATTTAAACAGACACGCACACCGACATATACATACATACATACATACACACACACCGACATACACATACACATACAAATACACAAACACACGAGAGAGAGAGAGAGAGAGGGGGGGGGGGGAGATGGTAAGCAGTGTTGAAGAACTGTCCAAATCGTAAAGGTTTTCTACTGCTAAGACTGACTACAGCTATGGAAACATATCTAGGTCAGCCGAGATCTAACCTCTAACAGTTGTTGGGGTAACCCGTAGCTTGGTCAGACGATAATCCCGCCTAACAGAATGTTCCCCTGTCTGTTTGAAAAACAATCAAAGATTATCGCAGATAAAGCATGCCTGGATGTTCAATCGGACCAGGCCTAGTTATTGTTGACAGGTAATCAAAGGCTGTTATCGTGGACAAATTCTGCGTAAAAACTATAAACATTCAGTAAACAACAATCCCGCAGGTCGATTGACACCAAGAGTGTGTGGCCTCATGGCGTAGTGCTTACTGTCTGGATAAATGAAGCCAGTATCTTTTCTTGCATATGTTTACCAGTTGAAAACTCGGGCCGAAAGTTCTGACTGTCCGTCGGGTGTTGAGCTTCTGGATTTCTGGACACTGTTTTTGTTCAAGAAACTGAATGTTGTGTGCAAATTCATTTTTCAAATCTGGCTTATCTGTATACAGACTGTTGGTTATTTGTCTTGCCAACTTCAAAGGAATCCTCCAACAGCTGATTCCTACATACTTATTGGGAAGGCAGTTTGTCTATTCTTTTGTTTTCGCCTCATTGGGGCCCCTAGCATGTGGATAGCTTGTGTCTAGTGGTATCAGAAGTGGGGTTTCTGGACAACATACAAAGAATGTGTTGGGATGATTTACAAAAAAATGAAGCAGGTCTTCTCGACTCACATGAACACTGCGAATCTGGTTAGATAAATTAAACTCACAAACACGCTCGCACACATTTTTTTAAAAATGTTAAAACATATACTTTTGCCATTTTGTCACCCCCTTCAGCGATGATCCTGGTGCAGCCTACACTTCACTGGTAGGATGTCGGTGTTTTTATTCTTTTTTGGGTCCATGGTATTCTAAGACTTTTTTTTTTTTTCGGTAGCATTTCAGTTCAAATGATAAAATTTTTTAATTAATTTTTTTAGTGCACATTCTATAATGATTTGGCTTGGGAGCTTATCGGGCTTCGATGAAACCTTCAACAGTTGCAAAAGGTCTCACTGTTTCCAGGCAAACAAGATACAAAAATACTGCATACATTGACCGCCTCATACAACCAAGCACAGGCACTAGCTGATAGATTAATATGTTAAAAGTTAGCTGTTTGTCTAGCCAAGAGTTATACAGACACACTATGCTAGCACTGGGATCCAACCCTTTACATGCTCCCACTGAACGTTTATTTAGTAAATATAGCTTTATAATGTATGAAATAGCTCTCCAGAAGTGAAACATTAAACACAATTGTTCAGAGCAGTAATGTGGGTAAACGTTTCTAGGTAACCTAAAATAAACTTCCTTTCAAGTCTTTGGAAGTCTCCTGCCCTGGAGACATACTTCTATTCAACCTCAGCCACACACAAATTCTTTCATCTCGTAGGTCGTGTTTTTAGAGTCTGGGAATAACAGACTGGTAAACAACAGGTGAATGAAAGAACTATTAGGGAAAAATCACTAGAGTTAACCAATCAATAAGCCATCCTCTGTTATCTGTGTGTACTTTAGAGCAGCAGTTCTCACATTGGGTGCCGCGGCAATAATCAAGAAATTCTCAAAATCTGCTTGAAATCAACGAAGACAGCAGTGTAAAACATAAATACTATGAGGGAAGCCAATAAGAGTTCTGAATGCAGGTGTATTCAGAAAACAATGCTATTGTCAAAGCTTCAATTCATTTTCAACGTACGCCCCCTGAGGCGCAAAAGTTTGGGAATCACCTTCGCTAGCGTGGATACAAGACACTGACGATTCATTGGCTATAAAAGCACATATGGCTGGAGATTTGGCTACACAAGGAGAGACTTTGTTACGTGCCGTGACGAGAGCGATGTTCTGTAAAGGATCTGCTGACAAAAGACTGGATTAGGGAGACAACTGCCTTCAGAAATTGATCTCAGTGGACTCTGAAAGTGCAAATTGATTATGAGGACGCGGATGAGGACATTGCCTTCTTGTCCTATCCATAAAGCAAAATAAATTGAACACACATGATGAGGGTTCCAACACTGAGGACTAACATGTATAGTAAGAGGACACAGATTATCAGAATAAACCAAGTAAAGGACTGGCGAGCCTCCACGATGTAGCGGTTAGGTTGTATGTTCAAATCCGAACAGAACTGGATTTTTTTTTTTAAAAAGACCTTGGCTCACAGGTCGACCCAGTCATAAATATGGGTAAAAGGTAATGTCTTGGAAGTAAAGTCGGACAGCTGTGATGTCAACCACGTCGCCAAGCCATTGCCGACTGGCGTATAAAATTGTTTTGGCACTCATCATCATCGTGTAGCAGGTCATTTGCAGAACGTCGCTCTCATCACAGTCTGCCTGAAAGAAATTCGGTCTCTCGCTAGTTATCCCACCTCATATACTTTCATACTCAAGGAGTCACTTATATCCTCTGTCCATCTTCGTGTCGGTTGGCCCCTGTCCCTCCTTCCTGATACTATGCCTTCTGCTTTAATTTTTTCCAATCCGTCGTGGCGCTAGATATGACCAAAATATTTCAGCTTCTAGACAGGATGCTGTTTATTAGCCAGTCTACCTTGATGTTTACTTCTTTTAAGATGTCAATATTTCTCCTCTTCTTTATCCAAGATATTCTGAG